CTTTTCAATGCATGTTTTCTTTTCACAGAGAAAGTATATTTTTCTTTTCCTCATGTATATGCTCTGAGTCACTAAAGCTGTGTATAATAATTTGGTCAGTGAAAAGGTATGGGGTAGGAGGAAATTTCGAAAAGTAATATGTGAAATAACAGTAAATTAATAACCAACATTGAAATCCAGACAGTGTATTTCTCTTTTCAATGCCATGGTTCTCCTTCCAGAGTAATTCGATTTACATTTTGTTCTTTTAAAGTTGCTACTCTTGCAGTTAGGATTTGTGGTTAATTGAAAGTTCCTTCGTGAGTGTATTTTCACCCTCCTTATTGTAGTGCTTGCTCTAGCAATTTGTTCCTACTATTTTATGTTCAAAAGGAAATATCTGTTGCTAACACTCCTACTATATTTGTCTCCTCCCAATCTAACCTCTACATTCCGGTTCATGATATGGTCCATATGATGCTTCAACTGAAGCAGAATGAGGTAAGACACTAAACTACTAGCCAACACCACACTGACATCTTGACAGACATAGACCATCTTACTATCAATCAGTAGGCTGACCTTGATATATCTATTTTAAAGGAAGACCTAGCCCCTGGTAAATCTTTTTCTCAGCCACAGTGTAGTTATAACATATTCTTACAGCAAAACTAGGGAGGCCAGAGAAAGGTGGGGAGGGGAGGGGAAAGGATGGGAACAGATGTAATTGAATTAATGCACATGCTGGACACAAGTGAAACCAGGGGGATGTCACTGCTCAGACTGTATTCAAGACTAGTCTCAATGGTTATGCAATGCTGGGATATAGGACATGTGCATCCTGTTAGGATGAACCATTAGACAGGCCCAGGTAGCTTTTATATCATGCAGAATGTTTAGATGAACCAGACAAAGCATCCCACACATTCCTCAGAGAGAGATAACATCTCAAGAGAGATAACAGTACCTAAAATAGCCACCACCTCGTCGTCCTGGATGACCTCTAGGGATCCCGAGACCACAAAGCAAAGAGCATCGACGCTTTCCCCAGCGTGATAGATGAGGTCTCCTGGGGCGCAGTGGATGGTCTGAAACTCCACAGCCAGGGCTCGCAGGCAGCCATCGCTGGCCAGCCGAAAGGCAGGGTGTTCATTAAAAACTTTCCGGTTCAGGTGCACGCAAATATCTGCTCTCATGTCCTTTGGGCAAATTGAGAGAACCTGGATAAAAGAAAGATGAAAAATAATCAGCTGGGAATATGACACCGGGTCAAGGCATGCTTCACAAAATAACTGACAGCATCATTTCAGTTGTGCTGATCTCAAGCTTCCGACAGAAATTTTATCTAGAATTGGGGTAGTGTTGCTTATCTACCTACTATCACTTTGAGAACTGCTGATGAAAGAGTGATGTAGAAGAAAGAGACTATTCTGTTATTCTGTTCTTATTTCTAACACTTCTTACACTTGTTTTTCCAGATTTGCAAGTTGCACTGCCTTGACCCTTATTGCATATCCCTTTAGACCCAGTGCCCAGACTATCTGCCACTTCAGGAGCAAAGAATGGATGTTCAGAGCTAAAGCACTTTCAAGACATGCAGGGAAGAATCATTCACAGGACAACCATGATATTCTGCTCACATATTGAAACTTAGATCTTCAGAAGTTTCAATGACGCTTACCCATGTGTATCTAAACACAGTTTCAGTATTGTACAGACAATAAGGTACCTGCCCTGGAGGGCTTCCGCATCAAAAGATCCGAAGAGTTTGAGATAGAGCAAAAAGAAAGTGTTATGAAACTTTATGCAAAGTAAAGGTGAGTGGAAAACTGCCCTGTGAACCTGAAGATGTTTTCACAGCAGATCAACTAAATAAGACTTTCAGTTAAGTTCTTACCTTAAGAAGTTTTCTCTATTGAAATAGTAACAAAAAAAAAAAAAACACATCTGAAGAGAGAAAGTGAAGACCTGGGGGTTATTAGCATTATAAACTGTGTGTTTAATGTTTGTACATCCTCCTAAAAGCACTTACGTTCTTCAAATACATGCCTTAATGTAGCTAATTTCACAGAGAATCATGTAAAATCTTTTAAAGTTTTATTAGAAGAAGGCATAACATTAACAGCACTCTGGAAGTCTCCTATAAAGAAGAGGGCAGATCAATAGTACGGAGTAATTTCTCATGGTGTGGAATTAAGCTGGCAGCTGCTGTAGAGCCAATGCAGAGTTGGGGATATTTAGCTAATGTTTTGACTGTCACTGAATATAAGCAAATAGAAGGGAACTTTGGTAACCTTGAGTAAACTTTGAGACAAGTGGTCACGCCAATATAAAAAAAAAATCAATAGTTTTAACTTCTGTTTAATAGGCAAGAGGTATAAAACATATTATTATAAATTACTACTAGAAGTTCCAAGGCATAGCATAGTAAAATAATAAAAAACACTATTTTAATTAATAACATTTAGTTCTTCTCTTATTTCAAGCTATCAAGATTGTCTTGCTGACAAGGACAAAATGAAAGCAAAAAGGTAAAAGAGAATTCATTTTTTATCAGGTGTACTATGACAGTGAAAATGTGGGTTTACACATGGATGTGCAAGAATCTGTAAGCATCTACACTAACCTCTTGCAATATGCGTCAACTTATAATTTTCATATCCACATCAGTACACCTAGTAAAACTACACCTTCATTTCAAAAGGCCTTGATTTCATTCTTTCAAATTATATACATTAGTTCTTTCAAGAATATCTACTCTCTCTTTTATAAGGTGTGCATTGTTTTCTGATTTTTTTCATCTCATTGTGTTCATTTGATAAAAGACTTTCAATCATCAGAAATCTCTTCCATATGTAGGTGTTTATAAAATGTCACCAAGTCATCTCCAGATCTTCTTCAGTCTGCAAAGCACAGGATGTCCTTGGGAGCATCCACATAGCATGATGTCTTTTCTCTTACAAAACCCTCTGAGATCAGGCAGCTAATTAGCTTTTATTTGATCTGATACAGACTAAGCCAATTTTGCCTAATGTTATTTTCTTTAATAAAATGCTGCATAGAACAGGTTCAAATCGCTTGCCTAAGTCTACTTGATCATAACAATTAATAATAAATGTTTGACATGACATATTCTTCATAAACCATAATTTGCATCAGTAATAATGCCTTCTCAGAGCCTCTGTAGACCATGCCCCATATCACATTTTCCATGATTTTATTATGGGGTAGATGTCAAATTTACTAATTTATACTTACCTAAATCATTCCATTTACAGTTTGAAATATGGACACACATTAATCTTTCCAGTAAAAAAAAAAAAGTTGCTCCACCTCAGCTCTACTTTTATTACTGTAAAAGAGAAACATGCCATCTTTCCTCTTTCCAATAATAATTTCATGAAAAAATCTGCTTTCATTTGCATCATGATTGATGATTTTTAACATTTATATCTACTCCTGGGCCTAAATCATTGCTTGGAGTTTTTTATTTGCCTTTAATGCTTTCATTAATTTAAGTGCTTTTGACTTAAAAAGGTCATGCGTCATGAATTCTCAAACACTACTCTTACAGAAAAATGTGTGCATTCATGCACATATTCTGATTTCCAATTTAAGCTTCCAAATTTTTGGAAAAATAACTGAAGATTTTTGTAATATATCTGAAAAATGGTTAAGCTATCGCAAAGGATGCTGCTCTTAGGACCCAGTGATATTTCCTTACAGGAATTACAGGACCCTTTGCTTTTGTAATGTAAGTGAAATGTGTTCATTTGGATGCAAAGCAGCATGTTATTTCCTCATAAATGCAGAGTTAAATATAGAGCATTAAAAGTGAACACTCCAAGAGTTACTCTTTTTATAGTCACAACAACATACCAATGAAGATCCTATTGCATTGAAAAAGCCAGCCAGTACTTCAGGAATTTACTGAAGTCATGACAAAGTGACTCTCCTAAAGATATATTATTGCATATAAATGGAGAGGGACATTCACTAACAAGATACAATGGCAAAAGAGTTAACTATGGATGAATATTCTCCATTTCAGTGTTACTGTGTGCCACTCAGCTAGTATTGAGAATAGAGAAAGAAACAAATGAAAGCCATAATAAATATTCATTATTAAAAGATTTGACAAAAGAGCTTTGATTTGATAAAGACAAATGTAGATATATTTACAAAAAAAAAAAGGAGCAACATAAATTCAATACTAAATTATGTGTTTACTTTATGCTCCAATCATAGGACCTCACCAACTATGATTTGGCTTTATGGCTCTTCTTACAAAAAAAAAATGTCATGAATTCAGAAGAAGTCTTGCAGAGGTCACCTTCTCTTAGGTAAATATTATTTGCACATCGAGAAAGGGCTTGGTGGTGGGGAAGATTAGAATCTGTAGTAATTTTCTTGCTCCCACAATAGAAGCATAATATCATATAGGACCACAGAGAGCTAACAATCTTCCAAACGTCCTACAAGCAGAAAGAGATGCAGAAGCTGAGCACTTCAATTTTAGATAAAAATTCTTCTGAAAACAACCACCTATTAGTGAAACAAAAATTGGATGCTTTTACTGCAAAATTCTCTTACAGAGATTGCAGAGTTTTTAATGCAGCATGTATCTAAACCTGATACAAGTTAATAGTAACGTGTCTGCATTTGAGTCCAAAAGGTCGCATAAATACATGTACACAGGTGTAAGACAGAAATTCAATTTCAGGGAGAAGCTAACCTGTAATGTTCAAGCTGTTGTTTCACTATTAGAAAAATGCCCTCCAGCACTTCATGCTGATAAAGTTTTTCAGGAAAACTTGTTCTATTCTGTGGATTCTTTCAGCAGCACAGCAAAAAAAACACCGAGACAAATTTCCAAAGAGGAAATTTCCTTGGAGATTTCAAGACCCTTCTGGGTGAAATCTGCAGTTTAGAAACAAGGCAGGCTATTCCAATTGCTGACAGCAGTGCTTTACTAACTGATAGTTTCAGATCATGCAACTCAAAGCAGGCGCTCTGCAGGGACCAGATGCTTGCACTGCTGCAGAAGTTGCTCTGTCATAAATCTGTAGCCACAGACTTTGTGCTCAGCTTTTCCCTGTGCATCCAAGCATCATAAAAGAATAGAGTTTGCAACATTTGAAAGCAAAACCAGAGGAGAAAGCTGCATTCTTCCTAAAGAAAACTCCCCGCTGGCTGGCTAAGCCGTGTTTCTAGCAAAAAAGAAGCCAGGTTCCACATCACACATGAACAGTGTGCGTATGTGCACCAAGATCTCAACTACTATAAAGTTGAAATATGAGAAAAAAATGCACAGAATAACACATATCACTTCCCTTCTCCATAGGGAAAACTTAACCCATCAAAGCCATTATGGAACAGTTGCTCAGTTCTGCTATCTTTGCCCTGAACTGATTACTTCCCAGCAGACACGAACCCTAAGACATCCACCATCAGCTGGAAGATGGGACACACGCAGTCACCTCCAGCAGAACGTGCTAAGAAATGTTGGTGGCAAGTGAACAGTCTGTGGTGGCTCTGGAGGACTCAGAGGGACAACACGTCTGCCCATCTCTCCTACTTCAGATCTGGGACGGGAGAACACAATTCTCAGTAGGCACAATCTGATTTTTTATGCTCCCATCCCTTTCCACCACATGCTCGGGCAATTTAAGATAAGCCCCTAGAACAGTTCAAAGAGCTCTATAGGGAGTAGAGATTAAAAATAACTCAAGAAAGAGTAAATGAATTGAAACAAAAACTGTATGGATTAAGTGTGTGTCCAAATAATAGCCTTTAGGAAGGGTTTAATTTTTTTTTTTCAGAAGCCTTCCTCAGCTTCAAAACACTATGGGACAGCTTAGCAAATATTACAGAATCCGTTAAGACTTGTTAACAAAGAGGATAGAGGCTGGTGAATGATGAATTATATCTATTTGCAATTCTCTTTCAGCACACAAAATTCTCACTTTCTCAGACTTCTGCCTTCAGGATATATTGACTGGTGTTCAAGCAAAGAGCTTAGACAGTCTTAGTGGTAGAATAACAGGGACTGTTTGCCAAATGGGTAACAGTAACAAATCCTGGAGATATTCAGAAATGGCAATCGACCTTGACACTGAAAAAAATATTCTCCTCTAACTTCTAACCAGATAAAACCCACAGATCAGGTCGTTTTATTTCATGGAAGAAAGCCTCTCTAGGTCTTCAGCCATTCTCAACA